GGGGGGGGAGACTAGACTGCACCTATACTACATTTGAAGTCTGCACCTTTGATACAAGTTGAATGAAGACTCTGTGAGGACTCATCTTGCTGCTATGTCATCTTAAATTCATCAACTCTAAAGGTGAAGGTGATCAAATCACACAAAATTTACAATTTTCTCACTATGTAATCTATTTTGATGCTAAATGTCTAATACCAATCTTTGAGATGATTTGAGCGAGTACACCCAGCTTGTGGTTTTCTCCTGGCCATGCCCAATGAAGTCCAACTGTGGAAGCAGTGACTCAGTACGACACCCCCCAAATGCCTCATTGCTTCAAGCCAACATGGCAAGATGAGCAGAGAAAAGACAGAAATGTAAATCCCATTCTCTAGCTGAGACCACATCTTCTTTTAGGTTTGATGCCATTTCTAGTAGATAATGGTTTGGGGTAAGTCTCAGAGTGGATTGAGGAAGGAAAGAACACACCCACCAACCCACCCACACAGACACACGCATCCCTGTTGAAATCACCCTCAACGCACATGACTGCAGTTGCTTGCTTCCTATTTTCTACTGTTTTACTGTACATCGTGACCTTTGTAAAAAAGACTCCAGCTTGTGATACTATTGGACTTTTCTTATTCAGACTCATTACAGAATGATTATTTTTTCTTATTTTGTTACCTTTATAATACTGCATTTAAGTAAAATTGAGTGGATGAGACATTGGAGATCTCAGCCTCTTTGACACAGGCCACTCTTGAACCAGAGACTGTGTCCGAAGCATCTTTCGACAGCAAAGGAGAAAAAGAACTAGATTGTTGCTCTGAGATCCACTGGTTCATATGAAAGTACAATTTGCATTTCACTTGGAATTTAAGGTCTTAGAATTTGTAAGAAGATGGAATTATAGCCATTTTCATACATAACCCCCCATTGCCAGAGACTCAAACAGTGTCCTGGTCAGATGAGACTTGTTCTCTCATTATTTTGTAACAAATGATGCAAATAAAACCCTCCATATGATTAGGTTGAAAAGCAAAAATAATCCCTTTAGAAAGCTAGCAAAAATGTAAAGAATGACCAAATTGATTGCCGGGGAGAAGGCCGCTCAATCAAACTGGCCCCTCCACTGTATCAAAGTATAAGAAAAAATCCTGATATTTAAAATTATGTCAGTTTGTCCATTTCATTTTGAGCCTCTGAAAATGGGGGACTATATTTAAAAACAACAACAACAGCAAAACCCTGCTGTAATTCACAAGCTGCAGATGCAATACTTTTAGTTAAACTCCTCAAATTAAAGCTGAAAGTCTGCATTTCAATCACATTTTCAGAATCATCAGAATCCTTTATTAATCCCTAAGGAAATGATGTGGGTTACAGTTGCTCCAAGACAGTAACAGTATCAGACTAAACTAATTAAATAATACAATATGTTAATAGTTTACAAATTTAAGAAATTGCACTAATATATACAAATTGCTCAATTATAAATATCAAGAATATTGACAAAGAATTTTACAGACGTGAGACTATTACAGTGGTGAATATATATGGTTGACATTTGACTCTAACCTGTGAACTTTGTCATTTGCTATTTTACTCTAGAGCGTGTGCAAAAAGGGTGTAAATATTACGGTGTTTACAGTGCATTAGATGGAGGAGTTGTACAGGGAGATGTAAATGGACAGGATTTCCTGTGTCGTTCAGTGGTGCTTTTTGGTAATCTCATTTTGACTGTTTAACTTAAAATGAACTGTGGTGGTGTATAGAGTCAAAAATACAAGAAAGTCTAAATGTCACTGTAGTTGTAGAATTTTGAAACCCAGAAACGTCTTGGGATTTATACATAAAAATAGAAATCTTAGACCTTATTCATCTGTTATGCCTGCTTTTTGATCATAAAATCCCCAAACTCAAAATGTTTTTGCTAAATAAGTCTCCAATATTTGATAGATGATTCAAAATAAACTTTCCCTTTCGCTTCTTCTCAGTCAGGCATACTTAAATAGGAGGATTGGTTTTGGAGGATTATTTTTTATTCTTTGTATTTATTGTTTTCTGGTTGATTGTCTATTTGGTATATGTTTTAAAAATACTGAATTGAAAGTTTTAATATCCAGAATAAAAATAATATTACCTTTAGCCTACTTATTATACTTTCTTCTCATACATGTTTGTTAATGAAAATATACAGCACTTCAGTATTTCTTAGCCTAACGTTCTGCAATGTCTTGTGCACTGAATCCCTTAATATCCTTGATAAGTTTAGTCATATTGTACAAACATTGAATTTGCTTACTATATTGTTAAATTTTCTTTCTTTTTTCTTTGTTTGTTTACTCACCAGATGTATGTGTCAGTCTTCCTCAGAGTTCTTAAATGTTAAAAACAAGCCACGCAAAAAACGAATCACTTTTTTCAGAATCAAAAGGTAGAACTTTGTTAAAGCAGGAATTTCCAAACTAAAAGAAAAAACCTCAGTCCTGACTGCTGTTACCGCTCCCTTATTCCTGTGCTGTCAACTAGTTTTGGTTGAAGTGGAAATGAAACCCTGTCTGTGCAAAACCCTGCCCTTTAGATATTCCAAGAAGGTTGTCTAAGGTCAATTAATTTAAGTGTGGGTCTGTTACACCCGGCCTAGGCAACCGGCGTGCAACACAGAAAAAATAAAAATAAGGGAGAAAAAACAAAACAAAAAAACTACTACGGGTCTCCACAAAAAAAAATCCCAAAACGAAAGTATCGACAACTATTTACATCAAAGCAAAACAAGACATTTATTTACATCAAAACACCAAACTATTTACCACCGGGGGGGGAAGATCGCGACCATCACAAACTGAAACACAAGGCTTAAATACATAGAGGGAGCAATCAGGGAATGGACAACAGGAGGGAAACACAGCTGGGGCAAATCAGAACTGACGAGACAAGGAAGCATAAACTGAACACACTGAGATAAGACAGACTTTCAAAGTAAAGCAGGAAAC